TGTAGACAGAATGGCAACAGATTGCATACAGAATCTGTTCTGACGACAGACTGGCGGCAGATTGCGCGCAGATTTTGTTTCGTAAATAGGCTATTTAATTCTATCAAGGGCCATATGTACGCTATTAAATGAGGTAGTTTCACATGCACACCATATAAAACTCCGAGAGGAGTCAAGATAATTATATTGTGCAATAATTGTACACATATACACAATAAAAAAACAACTTTTATTTTTTAAAATTATATTACGCATTTCTTATAAAAAAACAACAATAATAGAGAAATAACGAGTACAAGTATAGAATAGTACAACGGTTAAACGACCAGTTTAAATGGCCATTTAAAAGCGTACATATGCCATCCTTGGTAAAAATTGTTCTCATAATTTTTCATACAATTTCTCATATTATTATATTTTTTAATGTCATTATCCCTTTGTCCACAACTTTGCTTTAATCTTTAAGCCGTAATAAATTGACCAACCACAGTTGATTATTTTAAAAATAATGAACTGTGGTTGGTCAATTTCTTACGGCTTAAGAATTAAAGCAAGTTTGTGGACAAAGGATATGTCATTAAATTTGAATGATTTAATCGTTATGCAATAAGTACTGAAGGCAGCAGTACCGAATAAAATATTAATCTCGCCATGTAAATAACTTTTGCAGAATTTTTGTGATGATTTATTTGAAAATATATCATGTTTCGATTTTGATAAAATTTAATACAATTTAAACTGGACGATCGACCAAATTAATTCGCACATGTAAAAGCACAGTATTTTATTAGCATGATGGAAAAATGTAATTATCTGCTATTTTATTGCAGTAATTTTCTATACAGTCCCTGGTAGAAAATTAGTTTTAAATTATCGTGATCTTTCTTATATTATTTATACGCTAAACAGTTTCGTCTATATTTTGCGGTTTAAAAAGCGAACAAGCTCTAAGATTTTTCTTCCTTAAACCTTAAGGCAATACAAAGCACTTTTTATCAAGTGAGGAATTGACGTAGTGTCTGAGGCAACGGATGATTATCCAAAAGATGTCTTCGGTTCAAGTTCGAATCTTACCAGAGAAAATCTTAAAAATTATGAAAAAATAATATAGAAAAACTTTTTTTCATTTTATTTTACGAGTATTTATGAGTATTTATGATAAAGCGCTCATTCTATGAAAATAATTCTAATTATGAAAAATTATAAGAAAATCTTCTACCAAAGATTTAATTGAAGAACCTACGAAACGACAGGACCTGCCGCCAATCTGATGTCAGAGTCTGTTAGCAGACCCTGTCAGCAGTCTGACGGCAGACTGGGGACGCTGATGTCTATGGATCTGTCGACAAATCCTGCTCGAATTCGACAGATTCTGTCGTCAATCTGATGCCAGTTTGCGCGCAAATTGTTTACTGAAATGTTAGGAGATCGAGCCTACACCATTTCTCTTCTCTCCTCTCTACTAGTAAGTAATTTAAAAATTTTTTCAATATTCTCAAAAAGCAAGGAAGTCTTCCTTCATATGATGCTCGACTAGAGCGGAACTTTTCAAACCTTTCAAGACGCAGTGAAGTCTCAGAGACTCATTCGATTAAGCGCGCGTGCGTGAACCTTGGCGAATACAGAATTCTTCCGGGCATTCGTCTGCAACAAACTATTTTTTGTCTAACTCGCAAGACTACACGGAATGAAAAATTGCCATCATTGTTTGGCACACGCTATTGATATTTCTTTTTAATTATTTGCACTTTAAATTATTTTATTTTTACAGTTTTTCTTGTTTATTTATATTAATGTTGTCATTTTTTACTTACAAGGAAACGGTCGGGGGCGTCCCTCACCGAATTTGATGAGCATTGGATATGTTGTAGGACATCAAAAAACATTAGACACGTATTTTTTTTTATGTGCTTATCTCGAGGTTTAGGGGTTGAAACCACCCCTTGAAAAAAACGGACTTTTTCATTTTTATTTAATATTTCCTAAAATATGAGGTATATGAAAAAATATTTCAGACAAAAGTTTTACAGTATCTTATGCCCTTTCCATCGGTCTATTCAAATTTTTTAAAATGCAATATTTCACCCCCCCCCCTCCCTCTCCCCTTCGTCACCTTTGCAAATTTTTAAGTTTTTGTAAGGACAAAAATTAAAAAGCATTTCATGCCAAATCCATCGATATATAATAATAGTATGGTTCCTCGATTCAATTCTTGGCAAAACTACATGACTGATAACTTCGCGTTATAGGCACCGCGTTGTGCGAGTAGGTAAGTACTGTACGTTGCGTTGGATTACTTCTCTTCACTTGCGCTATGTTTTATAACTACTTGCGCATATTTTCTCATATTACAAGATAAAAACGAATTAATTCTAATCATATGATATGTAATATACGAAATAAAGACGTAAGCAGAGATAAACAACAGTAAGCATATATAACAACAGTAGCAAATGTGCGCGGCGTCGCAATTTGTACAGAAGTTTTCAATGTATATTAAATATGTTTACTGCAAAGTAAATTGATACAAGATCAAGGCAGGTTAAAATAAAATTGTAATGCATGAAATAAAAGAAACACATATTCTATTACTTTTGCAAGAGAGAGAAAGCGTGTAATGTGAATATACAATATATAATTACTAATTGCTAAAGATAACAGAGAACTCCGGATAAATTATGGAATAGTAATATAAGGAAACAAAGTAGAAAGGAATAATAAATTGTAGTAGAACAATATTTGACAATAATATTTATTTAACAATATATTTTAAAGCAACAGTACAGAATTTGCATATGAACGGATAATGTATTATATTTATTGCACATATTCGTTACAAAGATGATGATCATGGAAAAAATGTGTAATACAAAGCGATTTTTTACACCAAGAACAAGTAATTATGGCAGTTTCGCCACAAATATCGCAATTTACTTTCGAATCCCTTTGGAAACAAAATTCAACCGGTGTTTGAAACTCTGTTGGTCTAATCTCTACATATCCACTTTTAAACCATGCATATCGAAATAAACTTTGAAACCTAGGCGACGAGAATTGATGGTGCGTTAATGATTGTAATTTCAAAATATTATTTCTAGTATGAAGTTCAATTGCAAGATTTAACAATAAAACAGTATCAGAAAAATGTCTAATAAAATTTTTCCATAATCGGAAGCCGTATACATCTAATGGCTGTATTTGTCCTGTTGTACCGGCTGGAATTGTTAGAAAAACAATATCTGTTGCATAATCTGTTCTAGTTTCCGCTATTATGTTGGGACAATGCCCACTCCAAGAATCTAATAATAATACAGATTGTGGCCCAACATTCGGAAAAAATACTTCTTTCAACCAGGTTTTTACATGATTTGACGTTAATTTTCCTGATGTAGAAGCCGTAACAAAAATATTAAGCGCTTTGAACATAGTTTCCGGTT